TCAGGAGTAAATGAGAATGCAATGTGCATTCTTGGCCTACCTATTGCCAAACAAAATTGGACGACATTGCATCTATTCTGCTTGATATCAATGGAAACCCTCTCAGTGTGTCACGTGTATGTACCCAAGCCAAATGATTCCTTTCATTACAGGGCCATTAGCTATCTGGACATATTTCGAGTGCTGGTAAATTATGACACCATTAAATGTAACTTTCGTGTCGAGGCTAATCCATCCCTCTTTTTGAGCATACTTTGTGATGATAAACATATATTTAGGAAATCTTATCAAACAAGAGCACTTCCCCGTGAATTGGTCATCAGTAAATACTCCTTTAATGCCTTTTTCATTATCGAGTTAGCACAGAATGCACAGCAAAACAAACTATTGTTAATACTTCGATGCAATCACTTGCTGTCCACCTCTTTGTTAGGCGTAACCGCATAGTCACCATACAGAGTGGTCAATTTGTATCACCATGTTGGATTGCTGATATCACGATTCTCTAAACTCTTATCTGTCATTAAAATGACATTCGTGAGTCCTAAGTGGAGGTTGTAATTTTAAGTGCAATTTGATTCACTTACAAGGTGTCCCGCAACTTATTTTAAGTGCTCCCACACGATTATAGCTGGTCGTTCGCGATGGTTCATGTTATTCATGATTCAGTTTGATCTTGGCTCGTCCGATGAGGTGCACAGTCGAGTTGTCAAATACCCACTGTCTGTGTCCAGTTAAAGACTATTAAACCTAGTTGATAGATCATCAGCGCTTATGCGGGTAGACTGACTAGCAGCCATCCTAACTTCTTTAGTTTGTCAGCCAGTCCGATACTTGTAACGCAGAAACTTGATCCGTAGAGAGGAGATCAACGAGTGGGTACAAATATGGCTGTTTTCGGGGCAATGCTATTGTATTACTCATTAAGTGGCTTGAACGGAACCCAAAATGAACATCCTCAGTCACACTGTCCTTTCCTCTTTCTTGCTTAGCAGCATTGCTTTAACAGCGCTGATCCATTATTCTAGTTGAGAAGTAATGACTTTGGCCCCAATTACTGTTCTCCACTAATGAATGCACATTGGATTCGTTAAATGCCCTAGTGGAATTAACGCCTGTAATTTACGGATAAGGGATGTAAATGGTGAAATTTTATGAATAGTTTGACATAGCATTCCATCAGATTGGTTTTTGTTGATCCCATTACCACCCACATGTGTACAAAGTCAAAGTTATGCTATTTAGCATTGTATTGTTTACTTATACTTTATAAAATACGTGTGTTTACCTTACAAGTAGGCCTTGAGATAAAAAAATGATTTGTTGAATCTTGAAAAAAATGCTGCTTATCGAGTTGGTTAGGAAACGAAAGGCGTATGTGGCGTAATCGAGTGAAACCAAATCCTTCTTACCTGTTTGCTATCACACAATTTATTTTGTTCAGTTTTGGGAATAGAATTAGCATAAATTGTTTTTAGCAGGTTGCAGCAGTGTTGAGAAAACTAATGCTCAAAGCGTTGCACGAAAGAGCAAGATAATTCATCATGAAGTCTGGTAAGGGGGATTCGTAGCACTTTTAAAGGAACAATTGCAGAATGTGATTTATGGATAAGAAGAAATATGCTTTTCTGATTTAGAAGGGTTTGAGAAAAAGGATAAATGAAGTGGTTCTGAATTATTGCAGAAGCCTTTAGCATTATGCGCAACGAGTGTATATTTGTCAGAGGAGGGAGCTAAGTTTGTTACGATGGTTTGCGTCAAGTATTTGGGTATTTTAATGGTTATCCACCCCAACCCGTAGAACAGTATACAGGTATGGATGTGGAAACTACATTGCTCAGTTTCATGCTGGTATTTGGGGTAAAACAGTGGAAGTTTACCTTTAGACTTCCTTCCTACCAACGGAACTCGGTGTTGCTCACCACTGTCTTATGTACCTTCCATGATTTGCTGGTTGACATGCACCGACCCACAGTATTCAGCACTGCGACCTAATTCAATTTCACATTTATCAAAAGTTGTCTTATAAAGGCTTCACACTGAAGACCGTCTTCCTACCATTTACCATTTGTTATGACGTTCGTTTTGAAAGAACGTATAAGGGTGGCATGAAGAAGGAAGGGCTATGGGTATGCTAGTAAGCCCCAATGGCCATGGGGCAGTTTGGAGCAGAATCACAACCTGCGGAAATGCAAGTGTTCACGTAGGTAAGCATACAGTCAAGCGAGTAATAAGACGACTAAATTTGCTCTCTGCCTAACACTGCCATTCATTGCAATCCATGGCTTGATTTTGAGGTACTTATAGGCGCCAAAGTTTAATTTTCCGGTCATGGTAACATAAATTTCAAGATTTAAATTCATGGTGTAGAAGCGATATTTTGTAATCACAATTTCTTCCCAAGATTAGTCCTTGAAATGTTCAGTTCTTTAAACCGATGAGTAACCACTTCTGATCGCTCAAGACATTTCATGCTGCATGTATGACTTCATTGGCAACTTAATCACCATTCACATCACCATCAACAATTTGATTCACTGCATTATGGTGTCTCCACACACCCTACATAAACGACAAATCCCAAGCTGGTGTCACTTGTTCTGGTGCAAATAAATGATGCAGGCTCAGTCTCTCACACTTTCTACTCCATTTGCTTTGGTTTCTTGAACGTCTTTTCGCACAATGGTCTCCAATCGGAAGGTATCTGTGGTCACGTGAAGGCCTAATAAGTGGCAAACTCTTACAGTCGGTGACATTCTCATTTCTAGACTTTCCCCTTATCCTCTACTAAATTGGTTAACTTTGTGTAGGCCTCAACAAGAAAGTATAGTATCGTGCATCTCGCGTGATAAGGAGGTGTGAGTTTATTTGTTTTTCTCGAGTTTCTTAAATATCACTTTTATTACAGCCCGTTTAAACTGGTAGTTTCAACCGACTTTTGTTCTTCTATATCTTTGTTCTTTTCCTGATAAATATTACAATTCTATACCAATCAACTGTGTTTCTTTAGTACAGTTGCGCAAACCATATTGTGTTTCTAGTAGGCGCAAAAAGAATTTGGCTTGAATTTATTCGTTTGCTGCTGACTGACCAGAAATACCTCATCCCATGCCCGTAATAAATCAAGGCAATATTTGTTCATACTGCATGTCTACTTCTTTACTATTCCGTGCATTAAAGAGCTAAAATACTCTTGTGCATCAAATGGGCATTTTCCATGCCACTGCGAGTAGCACGGTCAGTGGACCCAAGAAGTAAGTCATTTGGTGGTTGAGGAGCCTAGCCCAATGTGTGAATCAGCCACCTCTACCAAAACAGCAATGCATGGAGGTCAGTAGTTCCACATGGTTTAAGGAGGGGATACTTTGTGCCCGAGGGAATGACGGTCTCCAGTGAAGTGTAAATGAAAGAGCTATGTAATTGGGTAGTAGAACAAAGGCCGGTAGATGGCCTTCAATACTTAATTAGGCCACAAGGTCCCTCCTTCTGATAACGATAAATGGGAACAATTTGAGTGGTTCGGAGACTCCCTTCACACATGCTGGTATCGCGGTGTGTGTGGATTTGTATGTTTGTGAAGGGTCGCGAATTCCAATAGCACTATTAACTTGATTTAGCACAATCAACCTACAAAAAGGTAATGGCAACCTGACCTTTCTAAATTGGTATCTTTGAACTGCAGATCGGAAATGCCAACAGTAGCCAACACAAATCATCTGCTGTTGCTGCAATCTTTATGCAGGTTTGTAGAGCTCTATGAAGTTGAGACGGCTTTACAATTACCAATATCCTCCATTCCATATTTGGGCTTGTATACATCGAAGTCACCGTTACAATTAACATTGGCCCGTTTCCACTTTTTGCGATGAAAACACCTACTGCTTATTTTAGCATAAGTTGTGCCTTATTAGTTTGTGCGAAACCCAACACAGATATTTAAAACCACTGTTTGCTATCGCCTGACAGGACGGTGCCTAATGTTGGTGGAATTTACACTAAATAAACTTATGAAACTGTGACCTATTGATAGCCACTCCGGCTTCCTGTTCCTCAAAAAACCCCTCACTCCGGCTGACTAATTAAAGACGTTGCCTAATAAACAACTTGAAATGGCTTTATAGACAAGTCCATGTAAAGTAATTTTGGGGACACAGAGGTCCCCATTGTCCTACCCACAAACAAGCAGCATTCAGAATATGGCTGCCATAGAACTTCATCCAGACTTCATGGCCGTGAATTACAATCTAGAGGAGGACTCGTGACAGCCGAAGCAGAGGGATCAGAACTAGCAGAGGCGACAGCAGTCAAGCAGACAATGCGGTAGAACAGTTTATCTGGGCACGCGGTTTCATTGCATTCCATCAATGTCTGTGATGTCCATTTAAATATCAGAGAATGGCTTCTGGCACTATATCTTATCCAACAAGTAGTTAAGTTTGTTCCGGAACATACATTTGCAATAATGCATCCAATTTCTCTTCCTTGAGTTCATGGATTTGACATATAAAGGATTGTATTCATCTCTGCTTTTGTTTCTGACATGTCATTGCATATATTTACAGTATTTTCCACTACTTAAATGATGGCAAATGTCCGTTCTGGTGCCTAGAAAGATTCTAACCAGCGTAGAGGCTACAAACGAGGACGAAGCAGCGAGATGCGATATTCGCATAGAGCAAGTTAGATACATCCGAGTCCAAAAGGCTTTTCACCCTTATCCAAAGAGGCAAATCAAGCGATGATGTGTTTCTTCCATGCTTTCCTTGAGCCATATGGGTCCACAGTCAAAACTATCCTTATTCAGTATTTACCCGGTCTAACTTGAACGGTAGTTAGCTGTTGCTCAGAATTAGTTGCTGCGCATTTTAGAATATCAACAATTTTAAAAGTGAAGTGTCCATAATCCCCAAGTT